CGCCCGAGCCCGAGTGGGTATATCCTGCCCCACCGGCCACCTCCCCTCGTGGAAGCGGAGCAGCGGCCTCGCTGTAGTGCAGAGGCGAGATGTAGCGAGCCGGGGGTCGCGGCTGGACGCTCGCCTTGGCTGGGAGTGTGGGGGGGCACGCCGGGGGCCGAGGAGGACGGCCGAGGAAGAGGAGTGATGAGAAGAGGGGGCACCCTGCCCTCCCCGAGACCACGGGCCCTTGCTGCCGCTCGCCAGGCGGCCCCCTTCCTCCTAAGCGAGGAGCAGGTCAGTCCCCTTGCGGGGTGGGGGGCGGAGGGCGGGAGTCCTGGCTCGCAGCGCATTTGCTGAGTCCGAATCGGGGAGAGGCGAGGGAGGACAGCCGTTTGCTTCTCCCCCTCCGTGGGTTTGGGGATAGTAAAACGGGGCTTTTGTGTCCCCTTCTCAGGGCATCCTGGTTCCGTTTTTGCTTCTTTCATCCCAGGGCCTAAGGCCTGTCCGGAGTCTCTTTACTGGAAGGAGTGGAGTTAGGGACTGGCTTCTCTTCCTGCCCGGCTCCTTTCAGGTTAGGTGGCCTGCGTGGAAGACGGGACGGGGGAGGAGGACCAAGTCTTAGCAGACTCAGAAAGTTTCCGGCCACACGAGCAGTGGACTCCCTCCTGCTCAGAGGCTTCCTCTCCGGTGAGGGTCTTTGAAAGGACCACAGCCTAGGTTAGTGGAGCCTGGAAAAGGGAGACCTGGCGGCTTGAGTTGACAGAGAGAAAACAATACTCATGGACCAGTTGCTGGAATTGACCCACCCTTTCCCAAGCCGGAGTTGACCAATTGTGTGTTTGGAATACTTAAGCACCTATTCTTCTTAACCTCGGGAAATTCTCTTTAAAAGCATTTTTTTCACTTTGTAAAAGCTATTCTGGTGAAATGGAATAGGGTGGGATCAAGGCCTGGGGACTCCTTTAGGGGAAAAAAAAAAAAAAAAAAGTGGGTTCATTACAGCCAAAAAGACATACACTCGGGAGCAAGTACATTTTGGTTTATGCTGCTTTCTTTCTTGTTTTGCTTGGTTTTGTTGTTGTTTTTTAGTTGGTGCTTTTGTTTTTTAAGAATTCCACTATGTCCAACTCTCAGCAACCCTGGGGAACAGGGCGAACGGAGAGAATTGAAATGTGTGCATAACAACCAGTCGTTTTACCCTCTTTCTCTTCAAACTGCGATAACTCCCGTGTCCCTATCTGACAAGCTCACAGGGCCCAGAGCAGGGGGAGAGAAGCAGAGACAAGAGGCCTGGCTCCAAGTCAGCGTCTGAGCTTTTTGTAACACTGTTGACTCTCAAGGGCAGGAGTGGGGAGGCCTCTGGCTCTTGGCCTCGGGCTGGCAGGCTTGCCTCCTTGCCCAGGGAGTCCTCCTGTGTTTTTTTCTCAGGGGCTCGGGCGCTTGGGAGTCTGGGGACCTTCGCTCAGTGATCAGGTTCTCCCTGTTTAATGGCCCTGGGTGGCTGTCTTGTGATTGTAAACAGTCATGTTCTACGGTGGGGTGTCTGTGCGGCAGAGAGTCTGTGCCTGAATGTGCAACTGACTCCCCTTAAAGACCACATCTAAATAACCCCAGGTTCTTCGTGAGCATCCAAGAAGGGGTGTCCCCCAGTACATCCCTGCCCTCCCCCGCCCCCCGATTACTGAGAAGACAATGCAAGGTCTCCCGCATAGCGTCTTCCCCGTCCCAGGCTGCTCACCACGGTGGGTGAGCCCTGTGGAGCTGTGGGTTGCTGATTGGGAGGGTGGCGGGGATGGTGCCTGCTGGGCCTCCAGATGTTGCCGTGCAGGAATGGGTCATTTTAATGGCCAGAACAAACTCTTGGTCTTGTGCCTGCTTTTGTGCCTCCCAGTACGAGCTGCCCTTTGCTGGATCATAACATTCTCCTCTTCTTGTCTTCCTCCCACACAAGGTATTCCACGCAGTTTCTCGTGACTTGAAGGACCGGGGATTCTGGGAGGTTCCAGGTCTTCCCGGGAAGGAAGGAAATCTCTGGAAGAAAGGTGAAAGACAACGGGCACTGCCCCGGGACCAGCAGAACCTGAGAAGCTGTGGGAAGCTTAAGGACACCAGCCAGAGGCGTGGGAAGAAGCCGCAGTCCCAGGCCCACGCTGCCTTCGGAAAGAACTGAACTCAACCACTTTTCATGAAAGAAGGGCCGCCCCAGAGGTTACCCCGCATTTGGCTGGGCTCTTCCACCCTGGATGTCCCCGCTCTGCGCAACCTGCGCCTGAGAACCAAAGAAGATAAGAGGCCTGATTCATTTCCCCCCAGCCCAGCGCGGGACAACAGGAGTCAGGCGTCTGCACCCCTAGTGGCTGGCTGCGGGGGCTGGTGAGGAGTTTCTGGTTCCCTCCAGCCTGCGGCTTCAGTGCTTGATGGGGCTGCCTGTTGGTCGATCAGCTTTTGCAGCACCCGGTAGGAGCGGAGAGCCGTGGGAAGAGGTCCTGCGGCACCCGAGCCTGGGTTCACCCCAAGACTAAGTTCTTTCCTGAGTTAGAGAGGGAGAGAGAAAGCGAAAAAGAAAAAGGAGAGAAGTTTCCCCTTCCTGTTTTCCCTTCCCGTCATGTCCTCTAAGTTGGAGCTGAAGGACATCCACCAGCTGAACGGGACTGGCCCTACCGCTTCACCCTGATCTTCCGATGGCCCCGGGCGAGAGCCCTTGGCCGGGACCTCCGAGTTCCTGGGGCCGGATGAGGCTGGGGTAGAGGTGGTGGTGATTGAGTCTCGGGCCAACGCCAAGGGGGTGCGGGAGGAGGACGCCCTGCTGGAGAACGGGAGCCAGAGCAATGAAAGTGACGACGTCAGCACAGACCGTGGCCCCGCACCACCCTCCCCGCTCAAG